CTCAGACTAATTCATTGCTGGAGGGACTGGAGCAGCTGGGTTAATGTAGAAGAAGATACTTTTCATGAAATATGTTTTTTCTCCGAATCACAGAAAGAGAGAGAGAGAATTCCAGCCTAAAGGCAAACTTCACTTATTGTAATTCCTTAAACAGGAAAGTCAGAGCTAAATATGACTGTTACCATAAAACCAACATAAAGTGTGAAGAAATTTCCAATATGAACGGACAAAGTAAATGAAACATTAATTAGATTAATAAATATAGGTTTTCTTTTGTGATGAATAAACATTTCATATTTAATATTTCATTTGACACTTTGGAATTCTAGAGTCATAATCTATTTATGAAGAAAAGATATCAGATTCCCAAGAGGTTAAATAGTGTAAATGTCAACACAAATCAGTTATCTCATTGTAGACAAAAAATAGGATTTTTTTTCTGTGAATGTCCTGCATAAAAATGATTTTTATTATGCAAATTACTTTTTCATAGTAAATCCTGATTACCTCCATTCCGATAAAAAAAAAGAAGTTTCAAGATATAGGTGTTTTTATATACTTAAAGAGACACTATAGTCACCAAAACAAGTTTAGCCTAATAAAGTAGTTTGGGTGTATAAATCATGCCCCTGCAGTCTCACCTCTTACTTCTCTGCCATTTAGGAGTAAAAAAAAATCACTTTTGTTTCTGTTTATGCAGCCCTAGTCACACCTTCCCTGGCCATGACTGACACAGCCTGCATGAAAACAAAATGGTTTCATTTTCAATTGAATGTAACTTACTTTAAATATTTTTATCTCCTGCTCTGTAAATTAAACTTTAATCACACACAGGAGGCCCCTGTAAGTTCTAGCAAGCTATTAACAGAGCAGGAGATAAGAAATTTTAAGAAACAGAATTTGCAATAAAGAAAGTGTAAACATTAGATGACTCTTTACAGGAAGTGTAAAATAAAAATCACTTTGAATTTAACCCCTTAAGGACGGAGCCAAATGTACACAGTGTGAACGAAACAAAATGTAAACAAAACCTGGCATTTGCGCTACATGTCTGTCCAACCGTAATACACCTCTTTCATAGTAAATGCACCCACCCTTATTATATATCATTTTATTCAGGGGAAACAGGGCTTTCATTTAATATCAAATATTTAGCTATGAAACATAATTTAATATGAAAAAAATGGGAGAAAATAAGATTTTTTTAATATTTTTTTAGTTCTACATGACATTTTAACGGTCAGTGTCATAATACGGTTTGCTTTTACTGCAATAAAATACACATATTTGTATTCAGCAAAGTCTCACGTGTAAAACAGTACTCCCTATGTACAGGTTTTATGGTGTTTTGGGAAGTTACAGGGTCAAATATAGCACGTTACATTTGAAATTGAAATTCACCAGATTGGTTACTTTGCCTTTGAGGCTGTATAGTAGCCCAGGAATGAAATTTACACCCATAATGGCATACCATTTGCAATAGTAGACAACCCAAGGTTTTGCAAATGGGGTATGTCCAGCCTTTTTTAGTAGCCATTTGGTCGCAAACACTGGCCAAAGTTAGCGTTAGTATCTGTTTGTGTGAAAAATGCAAAAAACCGCCAGTTTTGGCCAGTGTTTGTGACTAAGTGGCTACTAAAAAAGACTGGACATACCCTGTTTGCAATACCTTGGGTTGTCTACTATTGCAAATGGTATGCCATCATAGGGGTAATTTTCATTCTTGGGCTACCATAGGGTCTCAAAGGCAACGTAACCAATCTGGCAAATTTTAATGTGAAAAAAATGAAACACAAGCCTTATATTTGACGCTGTAACTTTTGAAAACACCATAAAACCTGTACATGAGGGGTACTGTTGTACTCGGGAGACTTCGCTGAACACAAATTTTTGTGTTTCAAAACAGTAAAAAGAATTGCAGCAATAATATCATCCGTGTAAGTGCTGTTTGTGCGTGAAAAATGCAAAAAACTTCACTTTTACTGGCGATATCATTGTTGTAATACATTTTACTGTTTTGAAACACTAATATTTGTGTTCAGCGAAGTCTCCCGAGTAAAACAGTAACCCAATTTACAGGTTTTATGGTGTCTTGGAAAGTTATAGGGTTAAATATAGTGCTAGCAAATTAAATTCCCTATACTTTCGGCATGGGTTGTCAGGCAGGTCACGCTAATTGTAATTAATTAGGATACCTAATTATGTAAAAATATTACATAAATATATGTGTAAAATTAATATATGTATATATATACATATGTGTATATATACATATATATATATAATTTTTTCAAATATTTTTATTTATATATAGGTGTATATATTTAGTGATATATATGTATATATTTATGTATATAGATATATATATTATTTCGTTCTACGTGTATTTTGATATAAATATATATATATTAATATCACAATACAGTTAAAACGAAATAACAAACATCTATATATTTTTTTATTATTTATTTTTAATTATTTTTTTAATTTTATTTTTTTTACGTATTTACATTTTTTTATATTATATATAAATAAATATATATATATAACAATAATTATATATATATATATTTAATCAGTATTAGTCTACGTGTAATTTGATAGTAATATATATATAAATAATTATATATATTAATATTTAAATACACTTCGTGTATGTGTAAATGTGTGTGTGTGTGTGTGTGTGTGTGTATATATATATATACTTAGATCATATATATATATAATATATATGATCTAAGTATATTTTATATTTAACTGTATTTTTTTTTTTTTTTTACTAATATTTTATTTTTTTTACAGGACAGGGGGCAGAGACAGTGTCAGCCAGTGATTTTACATCACTGGCTGACACACAGAATCAGTGATCACAGTGACTGCCTGTCACTGTGATCACCTCCTGCAGATTGGGTAATTGGCCACAGGGGGGAGTGCCTGGGTGGTACAAGCACTCCCCCCTTCCAATCTGCAGGGGGATCTTTGTGCCAGTTACATGTGTCAGCCAATAGGCTGACACATGTAACACTGATTGCAGTGACAGGCTGTCACTGCGATCAGAGCGCTCTGAGATCGCAGTGACAGCCTGTCACTGCGATCTCAGACAGTGCAGATCGCGGTCACTGACCCCAGGGGGACTGCCTGGGGGCCAGGTAAGTCCCCCGACCGCGATCTGCAGTCCCCCGACCGCGATCTGCATGGGGAGAGCCGCTGGCCACGTGTGTCAGCCGATTTGAAATCGGCTGACACACGTTAAATACTGATCGCAGTGACAGCCTGTCACTGCGATCAGTGACTGCAGATCGCGGTCACCGGCCACAGGGTGATAGTACGCCCTCCGTCCTTAAGGGGTTAATAGAATTCTCACTTTAGTAAATAATCTTCTGAGTGTTCTGTATATGTGAAAGGTTGGCAAACAATACCTTTAATATACATGTTATGTTATAATGTAAATAATGCATATTATCTTAATAATATTATGACTAAAGCATGAATTTCATATATGGAAGCAGAAGCAATTGCAATGTAAAGCAATACATACAATATTGTAATGGTGGAATAGCTATTGATAACATTATATCATGAGTGTAATATATCTATATATATGATGTGTCTTTACTCTTTTGGTAATTTACTGTATTATTTGACTGCACAAATGTTGATGAATGATTGTGTGGCTTTGGTAAGTTTAGGGATGGTCTCACAAAGTTAAGCCCTGTGCTCAAACGTCTACTACTCCTGGGTGGCAGCAATAGCTATAGTATTCATCAACCCAAATACATAGTACAACCCGGGGTGCAATCCAAAATACCTATGCATATTTAAATAACAGGAGATTTTTAGTACCACTCCAATGGCCATTAACGTGTAAGTTTAGCTGCCACATCAAGACAAACCACTTAAGTAAGTCTTTACTACACTAATGAGACAGAAAGTAATATTATTTTGAACCCCATACACGTTTACTGAGGGCTGATCTGTTTGTGACTTAAGGGAACACTCTAATGTTAAAAATAAATGTATTTATTATTATTATTACCATTTATATAGCTCCAACAGATTCCGTAGCTCTTTACAATATTACGAGAGGGGGATTTAACTATAAATAGGACAATTACAAAAAACTTACAGGAACAATTGGTTGAAGAGGACCCTGCTCAATCAAGCTTACATTCTATATTTATTTTTAATGTTGGATGTTCCTTTTTAATTTCGATTTCAGGAGTCCCATTGATAGAGAAAAAAAAGTTTGAAAAAAAACCCCAAACAAATCTGCCAAAATTTACATGTAATCCAGTAATGGGATAGTGTACTATCTGCAGGCTGGTCCTATGATAAGACCATAATTATGTAATGATCCAGTTCAATGCTTCTCATAGAAGAGCATTGTGACCTATGGTGCATGCACAGCAATCACCATACCCCACCAATCCAGTGAATCCTAAAGAGAAACATGGAATGCAATGTTTCTCTCTGAGAAGAATTTGTGTCATTCAGGGTAATTATGTTTAGTGTGATGACATTAAAGATGAAGAACTTTAAAAAGTAAAGGGCTTAAGGAGGAAGTCCCTCTAGTGGCTGTTAGGCCGATAGCAACTAGATGTGTGTTTTCAAACAAATGTAGCATTGGAATAATTATGGCTTCATTCCAGGGATTACTGGCTCCATTCCAGGTATTCATGGGCTTCTAAAATGTTTAACGTCAAAGTTCACTTCCGTTGACATAGTTCCACTGCTTTGCATGATGTTTTTTTTTTTTTTAATTAATTGCCATAGAAACTATACTATGATGCTATCAATGGTTTCATTGGCATTTCCATCCATCATGTATGTACATTTTTATTTGTTTGTGAAAGAAGGAACGAGCGGAGACATTTCTTTGAAATATAACAGCATTATTTTATTTTATAAAAAAAATACTGACCTTTTTGAGTAAGAATTTATTTTTTTTTTTCAATATCTGATTTTTATTGATAGAATTTTGCATAAGAATAAAATACCAGTGGGGATACAGAAAGTAGAAAAAAAGGGGGGGGGGGGGGGTTGGGGGGGTTACAGACGGATTGGATTTTGTACATTTCACACATTGCAGGAGCATTTACCTGGTGGGTTGTACATACATGCAGGCATTATGCAATCAGCGTTTTTAGTATAATGACCATACAGTAGTTAAATGCATGTGTACATAATATTCATACATGTTATCTAATATACATAAAGAGAACATCATAACATCTTCGGGTTTTTTCAGCAATGATTCGGACATGGCAGGACTAGAGTGGAATAGACTGATCCAACATGCTTAAGCACGTTCAGGATGACATATATATCACCTTTAAGGTCCTATGACGCTAAATTGCGTTGAGTTGCAGGCGTTAGAGGGACCGTTGATTAATGTTAATGGCTCTTGCTCGAGTGCGTGTGATTCTCCTAGTGGTGGTAAATGAGCGTCTGTATGCTGGGGTGGTAGACCAGGTCAGGAGCTGCGGAGAGGTCAGAGCTGTACTTAGTTTACTGTGCCTGGTTCAATATGTGTTAATATTGGCTTTGTGGTCTTAAAGAAGGTGGGAGGGAGCCTCTGATAGGGGAATTTGTCTCCTGACATTCCATGTTTTAGATTTAAGTAGTTTGACTAAAGTATTGCCTACTGGTGTGTTCTGGTGAATATCATATATACGCGTGAGGTCTGTCAATCCGGCCACAGAATCACGCCATCCGTTGTGCATTTGCTTAGTCGATGGCCCTTTAGATTAGTCATTTAGGAGTGTTTGAGGAGTTGATGTAGAAGAGGTAGAGGGTAGATGATGGACAAGGGTGAGATGTGAAGGAAGGGGGGCGGGGAAGGCGAGGTAGAGGGACAGGGGAGTAAAGGAGAGAGTAGAGAAAGGAGAGGAGGGGGAGAGGAGAGGAGCGAAAGAGACAAGAGGCAAGAGGCAGGGGACATGAGAAATGAGACCCTCACATCCGAGCGACCTTAAATGTAGTGTGAGAAAGCCTTCCATCCTAGAGGCGGAATTTATTCCGAGTCGATGCGGTGTTTGTACGTGGTTTCCCATCCTTCCCATTGTCCGTCGAATTTGGTCATGTTCCCTTTTATTGCCCATTCCTTTTCATAGCAATACGTAGTGTTTATTCTGTTAAGCAGTTCTTTTGCTGATGGGATAAAGTCACTCTTCCAATGAGACGCAATGCATAATTTTGCCGCAATCAGAGTATTAAGTACAGCTGCCGTCGAAGGGAGTTGGTTCATGTTCGGTATTAGATGAAGCAAGTAAAAGTCAGGACGTAGGGAGAGTTGTAGCCCGGAGATAGAGTGTATGACGTTCTTCACGTAGGTCCAAAAAGTACCCAGGTGTGGGCATTCCCAGAAAATGTGTAATATAGTGCCCCTTCCCCTATTGCACCTCCAGCATGTAGGAGCAGCCGTTGGGTATATTTTGCTCAGCCTATCGGGCACTAAGTACCATCTCATTAGTACCTTAAAGTATGCTTCCCATAGATTAACACATTTGGTGGATTTTTTGGTAGTTGCTATCGCAGAAAGCCAGTCCTTGAAATGGAACTCTGTACCCAAGTCTTTTTCCCAGTTTAGCATATAAGGTAATTTAGTTTCCTTGGACTTGTTTAATTGGGCTAGGTAGCACAATGAGAGGAATTTCGGCGGGTTACGAGTTGTGCTTATGTTATAGCAAGTGTTGCCTATTGAGCTAAGTGTTGATGGGTCTTGATATTTAATATTTGCAGTGTGCAATATATGCTTGACTCTCATGTAGAGGAAGATATCCCTATGTGGTAGGTTGTGAGAGACTTGTAAGTCAGGGAATGTGCGAAGGCCCTTGGAGTTATACAGGGAGTAAACATGGGTTAAGCCTTGGTGATGCCAGTGCATTATCGACAAGTCTGGTGATATTATAGACAGGACTCGTAATGGTGCCAAATAGAGAAATTCTTGATTGGAACAGAGGTTCGAGCTCCATGCTTTCCAAGAGTTCAGAAGAAATTTTGTGCATGGCAATGGTGGGTGGGTAGGGCTTTTCTTTTTTGTAGCCCACATAGTGTCAGATAGGGAATGGAGTTGGCTACATGCTTGTTCAAGTTTAAGCCAAATCGGGCTGGTTTTCTCTGACATAATGTCCAGGCTCTGTGCTAGCGTGGATGCTTTGTAGTAGTTTGTGATATTGGGAACGCTCAGGCCACCCTGATGGATGGGGTTCCATAGGGAGTGAGTAGCGACTCTCGGAGGTTTTCTTTTCCAAATATGTGCGTTGATAGTTGATTGGAATTTCGTAAGAATTGATTTGGGAAGAGTAATGGGCAGTGTTCTAAAAAGATATAGAATATGAGGGAGTGCCATCATTTTAACCGAATTCACTCTTCCTATCCAAGAAGTGTTCAAATTATCCCAGGATTTCAATTGGTTGGATATTTTCAGTAGGACTGCCTCATGATTTTCTTTTATAGTTTGAGAGTGTGATAGCGTAAGTTTGATGCCTAAATATGTAACGGAAGTCTTGCGCCAATCAAAGGGGAATTGTAATTTCAAATCGGTTGTGACCTGGGGTTCGAGGTTCAGAGGGAGTATTTGTGTTTTGCTGATGTTATTTTTATAAAATGACAAGTTACCATATGAGGCAAGAGTATACATGAGATGGGGAATGGCACATCTAGGATTTGCTAAAAAAAGAATAACATCGTCTGCAAATAAAGCAAGCTTCTTTTCCCCTGCTGGTGTGGTAAAGCCTGGCAGTAAGGGGTCTTGTTTGATTGTTCGAATGAGAGGCTCTAAACATAAGATAAATATGAGGGGGGATAGGGGACACCCTTGTCTCGTACCATTGGAGATGTCAAAGCTTTTAGATAGGAATCCTGAGTTCAGTACTTTCGCCGATGGCGCGGAGTAAAGGGCCAGAATGCTTGTGATGAAGGATTCCGAGAATCCATAAGCTTGTAGGACAGTTTCCATGTACGTCCAATTTAGGCGATCGAAAGCCTTTTCTGCGTCCAAGGCCATTAAGACCCCGGACATACGTTGGCGAGTTGCCCAGTCGATGAGGTCCATGCAAAATCTGGTGTTGTCTCCCACTTGCTTGCCAGGCACGAAGCCTGCTTGTTCTTCCGAGACCAAGGTAGACAGCAAGGGTTTCAATCTTGTGGCTATAAGTTTGGCATAGAGCTTCACATCGGCATTTAATAGCGAAATTGGTCTTAGATTGCCACAGGTAGTGGGTGGTTTATTTGGCTTGGGTAGGGTAATGATGTACGCTTCCAGCATAGTTCTAGGGAAGTGGCCAGTTTCTTTTATTTTATTAAAAAGTTTGGTTATGTGCGGGGAAAGGTATGGTTCTAATTTGAGATAATAGTAATTCGGGAGACCGTCTGGGCCTGGGGCTTTGTGCCTGGGGAGAGATTTAATAGCCGCAGCTACTTCTGATTCCGTGAACGGGGCAGTGAGTGTGTCATTTTGTTGTTGTGAGATTTTTGGCAGTTGTATTTTTTCTAGGTAAGTTAGAATGTCTGTTTTGTCTGGAGTGTGCGTGTTCTCGTTTGCGTCTAGGTTGTATAGTTCCTCATAGAAAGATGCTAGTTCATTCACTATGTCGGTAGGATTGTATATTTTTATCTGTGATTTTGAGAGAATATATGGGATTTTCGTTTGAAGATATTTGGATTTCAGTTGGTTTGCTAGCAATTTTCCGGCCTTATTGCCCATGCCATAATAGTGACGTTGAAGTCTAGCTGCGTTGGTGGTGAATTCTTTGACTTTAATTTTTAGTATCTCGTCACGCGTTTCCGTTATTTGTTTCGTCATGGTACGGGAAGGGGTTAATTTGTTGACGTTTTCCAGCTCCGTGAGTTTCTGAAGCAACTTTCGTTGTAGGTTATGAGATTTCTTCTTGTTGATTGATCCTATTTTGATAAATTCACCTCTGATCACCGCTTTATGAGCGAGCCATTGGTTTTCTATTGATGTATCATTTGTTGTGTTGATTTCGAAATAGTTTTGCAGTTCGCGGGCAGTCTTTTCTAAATTTGAAGGTGTGTCAAGAATGGATTTGTTTAATCTCCATTTGCCTCGGCCTCTCGTTGGGTAAGGCACTGCTATTGTGATAGTTATTGGGGCATGATCTGACCATGTTCTGGTCCCTATCATCTGGTCTAAAAGATGAGGCAATGTGGATTTATCTATCAAGCAGATATCTATTCGTGTATATGTTAAGTGGACCGGGGAGAAGTAAGTGAAGTCCTTAGCAGCTGGGAATAGGTTTCTCCATGTATCATAGAGATCATGCGAAAAAATGAGATTGGAGAATGATTTGCTGTTGTGGATGGTTAGTTTGTTAGGCTTTTTATCGTTGGCACGTTGAACATCTAATGTAGGGTCTAGTGTACAGTTGCAGTCACCGCAAATTATAACATGTCCTTGTTTTAGTGAGGAGATTTTTTTATGGCTTTGTTGAGAAAGGAGAATTGAGCCTCATTTGGTGCATATAATGATGCTATCGTCACTTGAATCCCGTTGAGGTCTCCCACTATGATTAGTAATCTCCCATTTGGGTCAACATGTTGGTTAGTAGGGGTGAATACCCAGTCTGCATGTAGTAGGATGGCTACACCTTTGGATTTGTTTGGCGCATAAGCATGATAAGCTAAGGGGTATTTGGAGGATCGTAGATTAGGAGGGTTCTTTTTACAAAAATGAGTTTCTTGGAGGCATACTATAGCAGCATTGGAGTTGTGCATATCTTTTAGAGCTTGTCTTCTTTTGTATGGGCTGTTGAGGCCTTTGACATTGAGAGAGAAAATTTTCATCGTAAGAATTTATTTTAATAATACTTTATATATGACTGTCATGAGTTTACAAAGCAGATTTTCTATTGTTTTTGCATACAACTGATTTGTAAAATGTCTCAGAAATGTATTGAAAACGTGATACATGTCCACACAAAGCTCACAGTTACGCTGCAGTGCTCACATAGACATTATATGTACATTTTTAACTAATTTATATTGACAGGTTGGTTGGCATTTTCTCTTATATTATATCCAACTGAGCTCTAAATGTAACGTGTAGTGCGATAACAATGTTATTCAATGTGGTGTTAATGTTTTTCATTTACCATGGAAATCAGATGCTACATTGTTTTATTTGGTGCTATTCATATCAATGGGAGATGGAAAAAAACATGCTGCTACCAGTAAACATTTCATTTTGGACAATGAAATATGTTGGTAAGCACCAATGATTGCGACTTCCATTTTAGCTCTTACCAATTTAATAGTAAGAAATACCAACAAGCTCCTATATGGCTTAAACATGATTTAATAATTAAATTAGATTTAATTCTCTTTTATTCATTTAAAGTTGAAAACAGTTGTCATTTAGATTTTTCTAAAAATAATCTTCATATTAGTTAAAACAAACCCCCATAGAAAAATAATTCATCAAGGAGTTCATTATTGATTAGATTATTATTATTATTAATTTTCTTCTTTCTATGACTCTACCTACCAGACTTTACCCCATCCAACACAGCAGCACAGTTAATGCAGTTTATTGTCTTCTGTTGTACTAGTTTGGATAGACTTTCATGCAGCCCCATTCTAATAAATAATGCAGAGGGCTATCTTTATACCACTGTAATATATTTTCCCTGAATTGCTATTGCTGTTTGTATCTCTTGTGTTACCCTATGTAGGAAAACACATACAAAGTCTTAAATACAGATGTTTAGATTATTGCATCTGTTAACGTGATTAGAATAGGGTGTTGTAATATTGATTCATTGATATATTACTTCACTTGTCAGCCTGTGTGCTCTTTACTCTTTCTTTAACTTATCAATAGAAGTAGAGAAAAATCAATGACAAGGTCCACAATCTTTGATGTTAAGAGGCTTTGTAAATCACTTTGCAAGCATTAGTCTAAGTCAAAGTGACTTGATAAATAGACCCCTAAGGACACTAGGAGGATTGCACAAGCTACTATGTATCAAAAATGCTGTTAAATACCACAATACTGTTACTTAACCATACTGAAAATAAATAGGTGGGATTCATATTGAGTTTATTTTAAAAAATACATTGCTCCACCTTGAAATGAATGAATGTCACTTTAAGTATAGAGAAAGATGATGCTAGCAATTCTTTCTCTCTTCCTTCCTTCCTTCCTTCCTCTCTTCCTTAGTTTCTTCCTTCCTCTCTTTATTCCTATCTTCCTTCCTTCCGTCCTCTCTTCCAAACAAGCTGGGAAAAGGGGTTTTGAAGATTGAGAGAGAGACTCTGGTTCGAGCAGTCTCTCTTCGAGCAGGTTAGTAATAGAGTAGAGGATGTTGTCCAGAACAACTCAACAATCTCGAGGACGCTGGACAAGTTTGTCCCATTTCTGCTCTGAGCATAGGTGCTGCGCATGTACAGTGTCAGTGGCACCGTCCAATAGGGCTTGTTTCTATGTCCGGAAGGAATTGAAAACATTATCTGTCCATTGAGACAATGTAATTTTGCTAGTCATCTTATTTTGCTAACCGGTGCTCCAGCATCACAATTCACTGCTTAGTGAACAGACCAGTAATGTTTCAGACTAATGTGACTGACGTTTCTAATAGCCTCTTGATTGGCATAATTACAGTTTGATGGATAGCCAGTTAGGTGCTTCCTAATGAAAAGAACAAGAGTTAGTCAATACACTGCACTAATAAAGTAATTTGTAATTGTACTTTTTTTTTCTCAAAATGAATTAAAGAAATAAATGACAGAAAGGCGAGTTTCTAAAGCTTCTGACTAATCTTTACTTATTTATTTTTACCTCGTAAACATATGTTAGACAAATTATATTAATTTACAGTAATCTAAAAATAATAAGCATAATTTTAACATAATACACACTTAATTTAAGTTAGTAATATTCATATTTAAGATATTACTTTTTTAACCTTTTATTATGTTAACTTTGCTCTGCAATAATAACAAAATGTTGTTACTTAACCCCTTAAGGACCGGACTGTTTTTGGATGTTGTACATTTGCGACCAGGCATCTTTTTACACTTTTGTGGTGTTTGTGTTTAGCTGTAATTTTTTAGCTCTCTCATTTGCTGTTCCCATAAAAAATTATATATTTTTTTTTTTCAGGACAAAATGGGCTTTCTTTACATACCATTATTTATATAATCTCATGTAATTTAATTTAAAACAAATGAAAAAATATGATGACAAATTGAAAAAAAATACATGTTTTTTGACTTTTACTTGAAAAATCTTTTACTCATCTACAAAAGCGAATGAAAAAAAAAACTGCTAAATAGATACAAAATTTTGTCCTAAGTTTAAAAATACCCAGTGTTTACATGCTTTTTTGCTATTTTTTTGCATGTTATAGGGCTATAAGTACAAGTAGGATATTGCAGTTTCAAAACATACATTTTTAAAATTTATCAATAGTGACATTGTAACACTATTATCTGTCATAAATCTCTGAATAACACCCCACATGTACATATTTTTTTTAAAGTAGACAACCCAGGGTATTCAATATGGGGTATGTCCAGACTTTTTTAGTAGCCACTAAGTCGCAAACACTGGCCAACGTTAGCGTTCATATTTGTTTGTGTGTGAAAAAAGTAAAAAACTAAATGAACGCTTATTTTGGCCAGTGTTTGTGACTAAGTGGTTACTGAAAAAGGCTGGACATACCCCATTTGCAATACCTTGGGTTGTCTTCTTTTGCAAATGGTATGCCATCATGGGGGTAATTCTCATTCCTGGGCTACCATACGCTCTCAAAGGCAATGTAACCAACCTGGCCACTTTCAATGTAAAAATATTTGACACATATATTTGACCCTGTAACTTTCAAAAACGCTATAAAACCTGTACATGGGGGGTACTGTTATACTCAGGAGACTTTGCTGAACACAAATATCAGTGTTTCAAAACTGGAAAACATATCACAATTATATCATCAGTAAAAGTGCTGTTTGTGTGTGAAAAATTCAAAAAAAGTCACTTTCACTGACAATATCATCGCTGTGATATGTTTTACTGTTTTGAATCACTAATATTTGTGTTCAGCCAAGTCTCCCGAGTAAAACAGTACCCCCCCCCCATGTACAGGTTTTAGGCTGTCGTAGAATGTTACAGGGTAAAATACAGTGCAGGCAAATTAAATTTTCTGGACTTTTGGCCTGGGTTGGCAGGCAGGTCCCTCAAATTGCAATCAATAAAATTACTCAATTATGTAAAAATATTACATAAATATGCACATAGAATTTAAATATATAAGCATATTTATATATTTGAAGTCTACGTGTATATTTATATAATTATTTATGTAATTTTGTATATGGACATATGTATATTTCGTATTATTTTATTTTTATTTATATATACAATTTCATTCTAAGTGTATTTTGATATATATATATATATATATATATATATATTAATATCAAAATACAGTTAGAATAAAATTTCATATAGATATATAATTTTTTTTTTTAAATTGTTTTATTATTTTTACATTTTTTAATTTAATTCAAATTACTTATTATTTGTATTTTATAATATATATATATATATATATATGTATATATATATATATATATATACAATATATATAGTTATTATATATATTATATATATACATGTGTAATTTAATTATAAGTGTATTTTTATATTAATATATGTACATATTAATATAAAAATACACTTAGCACGACATTATATATATATGATATATAGACATATATTATATAGATATAATAAATGTCTATATATCACATTTATATACACATATATAATTATTTTTTTTATTAACATTAGCCTTTATTCTTTTTTTGGATTTTACACTAGCAGGGAGCACAGACAGTCGCCCTGCAGGCAGACACATGGACACCTATTGTGACCATGTGATCGCTGTGTTGAGTGATCACATGGCCCCAGGGGTCCTAATCCGCCATGGGGAGACTGTCTGGGCTGCAGGCAGTCTCCCCACAAAGGGAGCAACGCCGATCACCGCCGGGGGGAATGACTGCATTCGGGTAAGTACATAAGACCGTTAGGACAGTTCAGGACTGTCACCGGTCGGCAATGCAAAAATGCAGATGATGGTCCTAAACCGTCCTCGGTCCTTAAGGGGTTAAATATGCTGAATGACCGTATTTCATCAATGTTACTTGATAGAATCTTCCCGGACTTGACATAGAACACGTTTGATCTTGGCTAATTTCACTTTACGTAATCATTCCTTAATTACACCAGAGGTGATAGCATCCATAGCAATTACAGAAAAGATGTCAACTTTAAAATAATGGTGTAAAACATTAATGGGACCGAGGCTGCCAAGATTTTTGCAAAAGAAAAAGGTAAGTATATACAATTGGCATCACATATACTTGGAAAGAACTCCTGCCAGGAAATTTTAACACATATTTTACCTTTGCAAAATGATATATCCCAGTGGTTTAATTTACCTAAGGAAAGGTCATATCTGTACACTTTATCAAATTGCAATGAGGTATGAACTACTTGAATAATAATGAACTATACCAGATGAGTGCCATGGCAAGGACTTGTAAGCACGATGGTCACGAGTCGGGTCTGGAACATAAGTAACAGTTTATAGAAGCAAGTTGGTTTAACAGCCTGAAGCCCCAAATTGGCAGAAACAACAAATAACTGAACATTAAAAACGCTGAACGCTGAACGCTAAATATAACACAAATCCAAAATGCAAACAGAGACACAAATCAATTTACCGTAGAGATGTAAAATCAAAGTGTAAGGTCAAATCCCAGGAGAATCTATCAAGGCAACAGTAGGATATTCTATCTTGTAGAATGTACCATGCAGTGAAAAATGGAAACAATTTTAAACATAAAAAAACTCCTTAAAGAATGCTTTAGTGATCAGTTTACAAAACAGGTTCTGGAAAACTAAAATAAACTCATGATAATGGTACTTATTTGCTTTCATCCAGTTTCAAGTCATATTAGAAGAGGTACAAAATACCAGACAAAATGGTACAGTAGTTAAAGCAACACAGCCTTTTAATTTCGTTTTCTCTTTATAAATTATTTTGAACACTATTCTAAACAGTTTTTTATTAATTTCTATAACTATGCAATGTTTTAGTAAATATAGTAATAACTACCCACATCAAGTTATGCATTTTAATGATATTTAGTTGAAATTCCAATGAAAACAAAGTAATTCTTAATCTCAGGATCTCTGATGAACACTGGAAGGGACTTTAGTTAACAGGAATATTTCAACAGATTTACCTGGCAACGAATGTGAGAAGAATAGAAAAGAGTTTATATATTACACTTTAAAGAGTAGGGATAGGATTTAACTATTATAACATCAAATGTGCTGCAATAAAAGCATAGCTAGCTAATCATCAGAGGTCATCGAAACCAATGCTCCCTTGGTGTCTTCATTTTGATGTTTGAATTGTAAAGCTTAGAAACTCTTAAACCAGCTTTCTCTGCTTCATCTTTAATAATGCTGGCTCCAGGCATAGGAACGACTATTTTTTAGTGTATCTTGATCCTGAATCTATCCTCACTAACAATACTGAGAGCTCCAGTTTTTTCTGAATTTGCCAATATTGGACCATATCAGCAAGAGTATTTCCATATTTTGGGTTTAGATTCAGTAACACATTGTTGGATGAAATATTACAGCATGGGTCATGATACTATGGTCACATGATAACTGTGGAAGTGCTCTGCATCATTTTAAAGTGTTGGTCAAGTTTGATGGGCACCTTCAGAGCTACATCATAGACATTTTACTGGGAATGTTTGTTGTAAGCAACAACCTCATGGACTTTTTAATCACTGCTAAATCATTCTCTGTGTCTAGTGTTATTTTGATTGCAGCCTGCATACCAGGATCACATTTAGCATAAAAAATTAGTAGACGCATTCACCACAATGTGACTTGCCTTGAATAATACTCCTATGGGCTGGACTGGGTAGTCCAACGCATGTAAAGAAAATTTTTCTTTGGCTGTTGTTTTCCCCTGTTTGTGTATGTACCTTGTGGAATAAACTTTTGCTTTTGGATTTGGAGCACTTGATTCTTCTGGCATTATTTTTTTGTTTATTTTTGGAGTCCCAAAGGGGTAATGGGTGACTTTTTCTTTACCTCACCTTCAGTTTTTTCATTTGATCTTTAAATTCTTTTGTATTTCGCAGCACAGTGGTTTGAGCTTCCTGGTTTCCAAGTCCTTTTTTTTTGCCTTGAATAATAGACTTGTGTATTGGGGAAAAATTAAGTTTGGGCTAACAAATTCATCCATATGGCATTACAGCTCATCTGCATTTCGCTCATGCAAATGATTCAGAAAAAAATATTTGGCAAATGTATATATGGTAATTCTTATTTCTAGCAAGTCGAAATTCAGTCAACTGAATTCCTGCTGAATTCTGACTAATTAGAATTATATTTTACCATTTAAATGTGGACACATTCACCCAGCATTCTTTCATTTGAGCATTTGGTTACTTTTGAGCATTGGGTTGCAAATGTTAACCTTTTGGTACGGCTGATACCTGGTTCATATATATATTTATTTATTTGATTTGATTATTTATTTGATTTTATTTGATTTGATTTTGTGGCTGTCCCCTAACAATCATTTAATTAATTTTATGGTGCCACAGATGGAACTCGGAATCACTGATCAACCAAACCCACTTGTCCATTGCCTGTTTCTGTTGTTCTCTGCTTCGGTCACAGTAACAGAATTAGTACAACCTGACAACCACAAAAATTGGGATGAATTCCATTAAAATATAAGTCTATTGATTAATTTAAACATTTCCAAGTGGGATCTCCCATTGCATCAATGCAGTAGATGTTTCAGTAATGTTACATATTTGTAAATTAACTAAATCTTATTTGAAAAGCAGAATATGGGAGCTACTAAAGTCCTCAGGAAAATCCACCTATTCAATGAAAATTCCTGACTTCTAAAATAATAAAATACCCAAAGAGCATACTTTTCAAAGGGGTTTATGATCTTCAATGTTAATGATATGCAGTAATGTTAAGGATCATTTAACTAGCCCCCAGAAAATGTATGCAAAGGCATTCGCCATAGATCTAAGCTGTAGATGCTGATTTAAATATGCAATACATTTTAATCAAATTTACATGGAAAAATTCTGTCCTAATTAAAATATTCTGCTCCCTAGCCCAGAAACAAAAATGCCATGATAAGCTATAGCCTAACAGCAATGCTTCATTCTCTACAAATAAATGATGCAGTTACGTTGCTACCTACTGCCTTTGGAACAGTTATAAGATTAAATGACAATTATGTGCCAATTTGTTTGCACATTAATTTGGCAACATCTACTGGAGTATATTTCCAAAGCAGGAACAATGATTACATTACACTTAATGTGTCTTCAAACAAAAATCTAATATAAAAGATAAAACTGAAAGAAGAAAAGTATTTTCTACAAATATTTGTGAAATATGATGGGAATTCATTGTGGAATGCATGCTATATCGCTAGAATCCTGGATATTTGTTAGTACAGCAATGAGAGAAGTACTTACAATGTTAACTTAATACATCAAGGTCTTTAGCAGGACTCCCCAAGATCAGTTCTCAAAAGTAACCAACATAAAGGTTTTCCAATTTACAGTTTATTGATTTTTCACGAGAAAGACAAACAATATAAACAATTAAATAAATCCAGCATAATGATTTTTTAGTTTCTATATAACAAAGCTAGGCATCCAAGAAATAAGAGCAAGGTTGAAAGATAAATAGAGAAAATGTAAAACTTTTCTATGTGTTTTCTTCCTTAAGGTTTAACATGAGAATTAAAGCCACAATGCATTTATCATCCACTAATGTGTGAAAATACATTTGTTGATTTCTAATATATAACTGATCTTTCTTTATGACTATCTGTAACAATTTCTACACTATATTTAATCTCTGATGGAAAAGGGTGCCCCTTTGGGTATTTTGTCCTGAAATCCACAAAAATGTTAAGGTTGGCCCTGCCAAAGGTAAACATGAACAGATATTGCTCTTAACTTATTAAATCACTCCACTACAACTGCCCTCTTAAAAATTTGAAATGACATCCAAACTGGCATAGAACACAGAGACCTAACTGGAACTATTTTCCTTGATTTTGCAAAGGCATTTGACACAGTAGACCACAACATTCTACTGCACAAACTCAAAAACTCAGGTATTGGTGATTGTCTGCTAACCTGGTTTTGATAGTATGTACCAGATTGCTCGCAATATGTGTCCATTTCTGACAGTGACTCCCTCCCTCTCCCAGTCACGTGTGGTGTTCTTCAAGGTTCCATTCTTGGCCCACTACTATTTACATTATTTATAAATGATCTTCCTAATGTCTGCAAATCCTAAAATGTACACATGTATGCAGATGACACCGTAATCTATGCAAGCAAATCCGATCTACCGCAGCTTGAGGCTGTGCTCCAAGACACAGAGGTATAAAAGTGGATTGCAAAAAACAAACTCTTCCTAAACACTGACAAAACTGTCCAAATGATCTTTGGAACATTACCTAAATTACACAAATTACACAATTCCAACCTATCCATCAAAACAAATTAAAATAGCACACTGACCGCAGTCCACTCTTTCAAATACTTGGGTATGTTGTTAGACCCCAAGCTATCTTTTGGCCTACATATAGAAAAACTTGCATCTAAACTTTATCCTAAACTAGGTGCCCTGTACAGAAACAAATCCTGCCTAAGCGCTACAGTAAAGGAAAAGATTGTACAAAAAATGCTGATGCCAATTATTGATTATGGGGATGTAGTGTATGCATCTGCACCGCAATCCCACATTAATAAACTCAATACATTGTATAACTCGTTCTGCCGATTTGTGCTACGATGTAATTACAGGACCCACCATTGTGACATGCTAAAAGAACTAAACTGGCTGTAGCTGGAATCCAGACGCACCCTTCATCTTTCCAGCCTTGTGTTTAAGAGCTTTTCTGGGAAGCTCCCACCCTAGCTGAGCAGAATGCTCTCCCCGGCTGTTCCCACCTCCTATAACATCTGATCTAGTACCAGCACTTTATTTAGTCTACCTCAATACAAAAGAAAGCAGCCCGATCCTCCTTCTCCTACAGAGTGCTGCAATTGTGGAACGACCTCCTGCATACTTTAAAATCTTCCCCAAGCCTAAGTCCTTTAAGAGATCCCTCTCTACATACTTCAAAACAGAATGCACCTGTCATGGTTGATTATATATTTTCTACCTGTACTATGTTAAATTTTGTATATATTGTGTATTAATATTGTTTTTGTATTTTATTGTACCATAATGTATCAATGCAATGTTTTGTGGACCCACGACATAATTGAAAATGAGAGAAATCTCAATGTATCTTTCATGGTAAAATATTTTACAAATAAAATAAATTAATGTATGTTTCTAATATTTTACTAACAAACTTGATACAACTATATTTTTATACTTAAACTATTTGGAAAAAGGTGTGAAAAATAAACCTATCACAGTACTAAACAAAGCATAATATACAATAATATATGTATATACTGATCAGCCATAACATTGAAACCACCTGTCTAATATCATGTAGATCCCCCTGGTGCTGCCAGAACAGCTCTGGTGCATTGATGCATGGACACCACAAGACCTCTGAATGTTTCCTGTGGTACCTGGCACAATGACATTAGCAGAAGATCCTTTAAGTCCTGCAAGTTGCGAGGTGGCGTGGAATAGGTTTGCTGTTCCAGCACATTCCACAGATGCTCAATCGAATTAAGATTGAAGGGCAAGGCAACACCTTGAACTCATTATCATGTTCCTCAAACCATTCCTGAACACCTTTTGCAGTGGTGCATAATCATTCTCAAGAGTCCACTGCCACCAGGGAACACCATTGCCATTAAGAGGTTTTTGTGGTTTGCAACAATCTCTAGGTAGGTGGTTTGTGTCAAAGTAATATCCACATAAATGCCAGGACTCAAGGTTTCTCAGCAGAACATTGCCCAGAGCATAACACTATATATAAGCAAACAAGTACAATATGGCACTGACATAAATAATGATAAATAATCAAACTATATAGTAATATAAAAGTAACATTGCCCAGAGCAAAACACTGCTTCCACTGTCCTACCTTCTACCAATGTGCATCCTGCTGCCATTTCTTCCTTATGTAAATGACGCACATGTATCCACCCCTACACAGAATCAAAAAGAAAACATGATTTGTCAGTCCAGGCAATCTTGTTCCACTGCTCCATGATTCAGTTTCTGATGCTCATGTCACCATTTAAGGCTCTTTTGTTAGTGGAGAAGGGTCTTCATGGGCACTTTGACTCTCTGTGGCTATGCAGCCCCATGCACAGCCAACTGTGAGGCACTTTTTGTTCTGACACCTTTCTATAATGGCCAGCATAAAGGTTTGTTTTTTTAGCATTTTGAGCTACAGTATGATATGATCGGACCAGACTGGCAAGCCATCTTTCCCCATGTGCATCAGTGAGCCTTGGGCACCCATGATCCTGACACCAGTTCACTGGTTATTTTTCCTTGCACCACTTTTGGTAGGTACTAACCACTGCATTACCCCCCAAAAGTACTGTTTGGGAGATGCTTCGACCAAGTCATCTAGATATCACTATTTGGCTCTTGTCAAAGTCACTCAAATTTTTTCATTTGCCTATTTTTCCTGCTTCCAACACATTAAAATTCAAAAACTGACTGTTCACTTGCTGCCTAATATATCCCACCCATTATCAAGTGCCATTGTAACAATAAAATCAAATGTTATTAATTTTACCTGTCATTGGGTTTCATGTTGTGGCTGATCAATACATAAATACTTACTTTTAGCAAGGCCTATGTGCTTAAATTTCGACCAAGCTATGCATTCACCAAATGAAGAGAGCACTCATATGTCTTTATCATGAAAATCATCCTGCTTTATTTATAAGATCAACATTTTAATCACACAGTTAAGTTTTATCAAGATGTAGAGCAGTAAAGTACTGCTCATTTCTGTGACCTTTAAATGAAGCTAATTCTGGTCAGAATTCAAATGACCTAAATTCATCTCATTCTGCCATTGTGCGTGTCATTTTTTTAATGATATATTCATATGGTTCTTAGGATTTATGGAATTTGGACTACCTGCCAATCTGCCAAAATTCCGGCAAAGAATCCAGGCAAATCCAGTCTATTCTTTAGAATTTAAGGATATTTATAAATTTACAAAAACAAAATTTCATGAAACCTTCAATGTTCTTCTGGTTAAAAAGTTTCAAACACAACTATAAAGCTGTTTAAAATGCAACACAACTAAAAAATAAATCTTTACCATTGCTCCCTCTTTTCATGCTATTATTATTTTGATTTTACATTTAAAGGATATACTTTTCAGCTTCTCTGCACTCATGTCTCAAATATATACTATGTCAATCAATGGCAGAGATGGATACTGCATTTGATTGACGGTACAGCAGTGGCATGCTTATCATGTATTCAAGATGCCAATTTCCTTGGTTGCCTAAGAACATACGGATGGACAAGCTGAATGCAAAATGTGTTGAAATTGTAATTGCCCTCACAAACATTGTACTTTGATATATTGTAAATAGCCAATCCATATTCTGCAGGATTTTCTATTCACTATCTAGCCGTCCATCTGGAATACAAAGAATAAATAATCTCCCTAAGTCCTAATTATTGTAGCAAACAATCTTGTTATCTAGAGAATGTGGTGATTAATCATAAGACACTTATAGAGAATGGACAATACGTGTGTTGGTTCGGTTTGGAACCCCCGAAATGGACCGACTGCTACCCCTGAAACTGTGGAACTGTTTTGTGCAGGAGCCTCATGAGCGGTCAGCCAAAACTTTACCCCTTTGGCGATTCGGCTGTGTTTGTGGGATCTGAGCACTATTTGGCCAACTTGGGCACTCAGATCCAAACTATCCAGGGATAAAACATTTATGGGGGTTCCTATATGTTATTTATGTATTATTCTGTAATTTCTATATTTTATATTTTATGCCGAGTCATTGTGACCTAGGAACTGCAAGCTATAATCACTCTGCCTCTAGCACTTCAGGAGAAAGCGTACAAATGGGTATCTGAAATACCAGAGCTCGTAACAATAAGACATACTGGAAACATTCCCCAAGTATGATATATAATATATGAAGTACAATGTAGATATTGTACGTGCAGCCAGTGTAATATATATCATATTTCAGGAATCAAATTTAGTGATAAAGTAGATGATAAAAGGTCGCGGAAAGGAAATTATAGGAGAGAAAAAAAGTAGGAAGTCAGAGGAGGATAGCATTAAGATTTACTATGCTCTCTCAGAGGGATAATCCTCCATGGGCATCATTGGAAAATGAACCATTAGATTGTGAACAACTGTGAATCTACAAACACACCAAACAGTGCACTCTATGTATTTAACAGATCCAAACAGAATGCTTTATGAACCTATTTAAGAATGTATTAGTCACATAATATAAAATAATAAACATCAATGAAAAATACACAATTGCAATACATTGATAGCCAGAAAATAATTTATTAAATAAAAAATAATGTATTAAATAAAAAAAAAAAAATTATTAAATAAAATGAATAAGGCACATATGAACCAACCATTTCACAGCAATTCACCTGATTTTTTTCTTCTGTGAAATGATTGGTTTATATGTACCTTCTTAAATCTAAACCCAGTGTTTAACCCCTACCATGCACTACAGTCTCATGGCTTTTTAATGTGCATATGTATTGTCTCTTACTCTAATTTTTCTAATTGTTGCATATTCTACTAAAGTTGGTCTACCATTATTTTATATTAGAGGGATCTCCATTGTTTAACTCATATGCCCTTTTCGGGCCTATTTGTCTATTATGTAATCTAATTGAATTACCTTGGGTAACCCCTCCCTCCCCACCCCCCCACCCCCCCTTCCTTGGAGCCTCCTAGACACGGTTATTTTGTTCCTGAGTGTACCTTTTTGTGAGTTTTTTTTTTTAAAATTACACTGATTAGGAATGCATGTATTTACAATTAAGCATTCAGAATATGCATGAACGTACATTTTAGTTTTCATAGGAAGTGTTATATAGAGTACCTCAAATATTATAATTCCAAACATTGAAGAGTCGATAAGTTTTGTTCATATAGGTATATAGCTAGCTTATGTCATGACTTACGTGCTCCCAACTTGCGCCTTTACAGTCCATAATGAATGCAGCGGCGAGGCTCATTTTCCTGTCCACCCGCACCTCCCATGCCTCACCCTTCTGTCAGTCCCTACATTGGCTTCCTATAAAATATAGAGTTCAATTTAAAATTCTGACTCTTGCTTTCAAATCTCTACATAATGCTGCTCCCACCTATCTATCCTCACTTATACACAAGTATGTCCCGTCTAGGCCCTTACGATCTGCTGAAGACTTACGTCTATCTTCTGTCCATACTCCCACTTCTGATGCTCGCCTTCAAGACTTTTCCAGGACTGCACCGTTCCTGTGGAACTCGCTTCCCTCCTCCATTAGATGTTCACTCAGTCTCCACTCCTTCAAAAAATCTTTAAAAACCCACTTCTTCATAAAAGCGTATCAATTAAACTGTTAATAGCTCCTGACTGATTCCTCTTCTGCAACTGTCACTAGTCTAATACTATCCTTAACTTTTTGTATCATTTTACCCCACTCCCTCTAGCATGTAAGTTCATTGAGCAGGGCCCTCAACCCCTCTGTTCCTGTGTGTCCAACTTGTCTGGTTACAACTACATGTCTGTTCTTCCACCCATTGTAAAGCGCTGCGGAATTTGACGGCGCTCTATAAATATCATAATAATAACAATAATGACTTGAGACAAGCCTCTGGAACTACAAAATAATGATGGTGTTGCTTTCGTGTGAGGGCGATGAGTTTAATATTTCTTGGGGCATGGATCTCTTACAAAATCAGTTTGCTTCAATTAATAGATTAAGTGCAGGATAATTTATGAGGTAATATATAAGAGAAGAATAGTACAGCTCAAGCATACAAGGAACAAACCCCAAACCACTTGTGAACTAGCTAAAGGAGTTAAACTGAGGATTTTGTTAAATAGTTTTTAAGGCTCTCTAACTCAAGGCTAAATAGCATGCGCCCATATACTCATTACTGGATTACCCACCACATATGTGAAAAAATAGAGAAAGGATATATACGATTGATGTTGTTACAGATTTTAACTAGATGCAACTTTCAGTTGTTTTTTTTATTTGAACTTTAACCTTCTAGATAAACAATGCAAACCGTGGGCAGAAACTAAGAATTTCAATAAGAAAAGGAAAGTATGCATCTTGTACAACAGAAGATGCGATTGTAGTGCAACATTTAATGGTGTTATCAGCACTGAAATTCTGGGAGGTGCTCTATAATAGATTGATATTATTTCACCAACATTCGTGTCAGACTCTAACCTTGGTTTGAATCTTGTTTATTTACCAACTTAAACAAACTAGACTTAAGATAAATCAGTTCCATTTTTAGATTATTTCATGATTAGTTCTTTATTTATATTGTGTATCTTGTTTGTATACTTACTGTTTAATTATAAATATTAGAAAACATATAAATACACACAAATTACTGCTACATTTTGTAAGATCTCCTTTTTTATTTGTGTGTCTAGGTTTTGTATGGTTCGCTTCAAGGTAATATTTTAATAAGCAATGCTTTTCTTTTGCTCATTTATATGAATGAATGAATTAATTGATTTATCAACAATTTCCTGCATAAGTCATTAGGGTACTATCCTGATTACAACCCAACTGCCCAGAAATTGTTTAGTTACTTAGTAATAGTTATTGAGTTACTGGCTAAGAAAGTTATGAGTTTTTATGCAATCTGTTGAACAGAGATTGCCTAAACTGTAATATTGTTTAATATATAATATCATGAATCATTATTACATTACAAAAATAGCAATAGTCCAGCCATATTAGTTTAATAAGCACGTTTAAGATCCTTCTGCTGCAACAGTGGCATTTTCTATTGTGAATGATCTGTTTTATATTACAAATATCTAGGTCTCCCAGTAGCATAACATCTTATTAGGCAAAACTATAACTCCAAGCTACTATTATAACTTCCCTGTTTTCATTCTTTGAAGCAGACTTTATTTAAAAAAGATGGATGAGGAGTGCTGGGGAGGATAGCAATATATTGGTATACCAAAATCATCATTGGATTGTAATGAAGACATTCTGTTTGAGGATGATTTCTTAACTGTCATAAAAAAAACTATTGTGCATATGATACATTTGCTATTATTTCCAATCACCCCAGGAGCAGAAAATGTTCAAACATAACTTAAGCTTAAGAAGGCTAACATTAAACTCATGTGAGTCTCTTGTAATGACTGTATTCTATCTGTTGGAATTACTGAAGAAAATGATAGCAAGCCCCAGCTGAATAAATGCAACCATTACAAAGCCATGGCACGTTTGAATTAAATGTAACATTTCTTGAATACTGAGAAGTTTTCCAACTGTGTTTTGTATTTTGTATGTTTGTTTTCTCGCGTCTTTTTAGTGTACACATTTTCTTTCACAGATGCTCTAAACAACACATTATTCTAATAAATATAAGATTTTGTTTTGTGCAAACATAAGCTTGATGCAGTCATGACAATACAAGATAATGTTTTTTTTTGTGTGTGTGATTTTAGCTTTATTTCAAGTTATTGTGCTAATTAAAATAAGAAACACGATTAGCATCTCAGAAAAATATGTAGCAGGATTTTATTTAAATCTAAATTTAATTTATTTAAATTGAGGTGTTTAAAGGGATATGATGGGAAACCAGATGACTTCATCTCATTATGTGGTCCTTATCCTCTTAACCCTGCAATCTTCTACTCAACAACCAGGAGCATTTCCTGCTGTTTCAGGGAGTTTGACTCAATGAAATATTGCTAGATGTCCTAAAGATGTCCAGCATCTTTCAATCCCAATTAGAGTGCATTAATTCAATGGGGAAGGCCTAATGTCGATTGCCAAGCATGCGCATTAAGTATCCCTTTAAAGATGATATCTGAGGAGGTGAAGATGGATCCAGATCAGAGGGACTTTGGTGCTGGAATACCTTGAGTGAATTCAGCAGTTATTTAACCCTTTGATTGCCACAGGTGGGGGAGGAGGGTACGAGGGAGAGGAAGCAGAGGAACATTTTAGTGTATTCTTTTGTGTATATTTAGTGTATTTTGTATTCCTATCACTAAAGTGTTCCTTTAAAGTGGCACTGCCACTTCTTTTTTCATAATGATAGAACATTATTTTATTTTGCATTGGATTATAACAAAAAAAGATATAGTTGCAACAGAGGCAAAAAACCCAGTTTCAAGCATTTCTAATTTTGAAACAAACTAGGAAATAAATAGTTCTTGACCCTAGAATGGCAGTAAGATGTCTCCTTGGATCAAGAAGCTATTACTTCATATATTAAAAATTGTATCCCAGTATATTATGGCTTTGAAAGTATATATTCAATTGCTGTTTAAACATCTGTATGGACTCTCAGGCATAGAATTCTACATCCTTATTGTTCTTACTGTAAAAAATCTTTTAATTTGCCTTAGATTAAATCTTCTTTCTTCCACTCTATGTGTTTTGTCCTGTTTTTGAATAGATTCTACAGAATGAAGTGATTCGAGTGTCATGTACCCCCTGTCCCTTTAAAGTACTTTCTTGTTTAAAAATCTGAAAACCACATGGCCGTGTTGTTGACTTAGAAGGAAATGATAAGCAGGGTGCTGTCTTGAATGCTGAAAAAAGTTTTGGCTCAGTACAGGGGCTTTGTGTGATTAAGGTCCACACCACCTTCTTTTTGAAGTGGAGGAACTCAGGTAATGGTATTTAAAAATCACTTTATTATAATATTTAAAACAAAATTAATTTAATATAAAATACCAATGTAAAGTCTTTGTATCATCCGTTTGTTGACTTCTTCAATCTGGTGTAATAGACTTCCCAGTCCCTGCTGTCCTATTTGTATACCTTCTGCTGATTCTGATGTCTTCCAGCTGGTTTAATTGCATTCCAAGCCTCTTTCTGGTTCTTTGTTTGATGCAACCTCATTTCCGGGTTAGGCCGCATTGCATCATATCCGGTTTTCGGCAGTTCTACCAATTTTATCTATTATTACTTTATAATTACGATAAAGAGGTATCCCATATCAGCATAGGTACACTGCAAAATTTATTATAAATATTCTATTTTCTATCCTTTTCTTTTAAAATGTTCATCTAAATGATAACATGAGAGAAAGTCATAATACATATAAGCAGGAGTAAGCATGACATTTTCGTCAATGATAATGCACCTATGTTGTGTAGGAACGTCGAAACCTCCTTCATCGATAATAAAGTGTGAGAAGTCCCAGTGTGGGTTACTATCACAGAGCAGTTTGCTCCCCACTTATAAGCCTTATTTGCAGTGCGAAGTTGGGCAGTGACCGCATTGAAAGCAATTGATAGAACGTGAGCGTGGAGCTTTCAAAAGCGAGGGGTGTCTTGCTCCTCAGCGCTGACATGATCTGGATTTTGTCTTGAATGGTGAGAAATCTGAGTATGACATCACAAGCCACGCTGCAAGCCTTTGTGTGAAGGTCTGCTGGATGGTCTGGATCTGTTGCAAAAATGCTCCAGTTTAGACAGATTGTGTATGTCTGCCAGCAAGACTTTCAGGTGATTGGTGGTTGGGGCTGAGTCATCTGAGGAGTCCCGTGGGAGAGGCTCTGGGGTCTCCTGATGCCCCTGAGTCGGGTTCGGGTCAGGTGCCTCTACTTGTGGAACTTCTGCAGGTTTGGGCCTGTGTGGAGTAGGTCTCAGGATCAGGCTGGCTGATATTAGTGGGATTAGAAGGGTTTGCTTTGGAGCAGGCAGAAATGTCTGGTTGGCTAGCAGGTTCCGCCCCCCTAAATGCATATTTTAAAGAATTTAATATTGATATATATCTCCTTTTCATTTGTATGTGTGTTGGAATATGTTTGAGGACAATTAAATACACTGAGGATTAAAAACGTAATTGTACCAGCAGTGGAACGCAATTTGGAATGCATTACCATAGATTTGTGAACTCTACTTTAAAGAATATGATATTGATATAACTCTCCTTTTCATTTGTATGTGTGTTGGAATATATTACCTGAGGATATGTTGTATTTTGGGGGTTGTAAAAATGTATGTTTTTTCTGCTTAGAATTAAAGGACCACTCTAGGCACCCAGACCACTTCAGCTTAATGAAGTGGTCTGGGTGCCTGGTCCAGCTAGGGTTAACCCATTTTTTAATAAACATAGCAGTTTCAGAGAAACTGCTATGTTTATTAATGGGTTAAGCCTTCCCCCTAATCCTCTAGTGGCTGTCTCATTGACGGCCACTAGAGGCGCTTGCGTGCTTCTCACTGTGATTTTCACAGTGAGAGCACGCCAGCGTCCATAGGAAAGCATTGTAAATGCTTTCCTATGCGACCGGCTGAATGCGCGCGCAGCTCTTGCCGCGCGTGCGCATTCAGCCGACGGGGCAGAACGGAGGAGGAGAGCTCCCCGCTCAGCGCTGGAAAAAGGTAAGTTTAAACCCCTTTCCCCCTTCCAGAGCAGGTCACTATAGTGCCAGGAAAACGAGTATGTTTTCCTGGCACTATAGTGGTCCTTTAATTGAGTTAGTCCATTGTTTTTGTTAATTATATCACAGGCAGAGGGGAGGGATTGTGTACAGTGTATGGGAGTGACTAAATGTAAAACTATGTTTTTATTGGCTTGTTGTTCCTGTGTTCCTGTGCCCCACAAGGTCCACCTGGGTGGTAACCTTGTAGGGAAAACTGTATAAAAGACCAAGCTGTTCAATAAACACTGAGATCTGCTGAGTTCCTGTTTTACCCTCAACATAGAGCCTCGCCTTATGTGTAGGGGGAAAGGCTACATCTACCCTGGGGATTGCTATATCACTATACTGCCCAGGGATTATAATCACTAAGCTCTTTTAAGAGCTTGTTCCTGCTACTCTCTCTTGGAGGAGAGGTTCACCCACTGGAACCTTGAGCCTTGTAGTAGGTCCAGGGTGGGTAGAGGACAGCAAGTTCCCAGCCAAGCTGTAACACTGGATGTGGGGACTGCAGTGCTGATGGCGTTTGGTGGAGTGCTTGGAGTCCTCGGTGAGCACTAGGAGCATCCGTTGGCGGAGGTACCCAACCGGAGTACAGGAAGCTTTGTTACACTGCACTTCTAAAAGAAGGTGGTGTGGTCCTTAACCACACAAAGTCCCAGAACTGATCCAGGATTTAGGCTGAAAGCTTATATACCATTGAAAAAAAGGGATCTATTTAAAGAACAGATACAAGAGAGGTGAAAGGTCGCCCAAAAGGACCCAAAGGTTAGAGCTAGGTTGATTAGCTCTGGACAATGTTAGTGTTCCATATTAGATTTTGTGTTTTAACATATATATATATTAATGTTCTACACTATTTTGCACATATTTCTTTTTTAAAGGTATAGTCGCTGGTACATCACAGAAGGTCTATTCCAGTTAAGTTATCAATTTTTGTGCACATTGGTTGCACTTTAGAAGCATATAACTCTCCACTGTTTTACATCTAGTTTTCACATTTTTGTGTGTTTTTGGAGGTTTGCACATTCAGTGTAGTAGCTGCTATTTTCTGAAAATATATTTTTTCCAATACAAGTTTTTAACATACACTCCTTTTTTAGATCTGCTAACACTAGTTAAGGGAGTTTGCTACATATCCTTAGTTTTAAGAATTAGAGACACATCTCATGCAATAAGGCCAAAAGAAAGCCACATTTTTCTACCTCGCACATCTGATTAAGCAACTTTGGTTAGTAGGATATAATAATTCATTTGCCATTTAGAACATTACAAAACTTCTGCAACATTTACACACTAGAAATGGTGGCTAGTCACACACATGATGGCAGAAGCTCTGACTTTTCTTAGATTTTGTCAAGTTTAATGCTGGACCACATGATAAAGTCGTTCTAACGTTGTCACATATGATATGTTTTGATTGTGTTGGAATTTCAAAGCCAATCAAAATGAGTATTTTATAAAATTTTCTCTTTATGAAATACTGAGAAATTCTATTGTAGTGACAGAGCCACTTTAATTATTCGGTGTAAATCAATTCAATAAACAGCTATCGCTTTACACTCATTTTCAGTTTATTGTTTCACACAGGTGGTATAAGTTATTTCGCCAGGATCTAATGAGGGCTACTTTCCTGGAAAGCAGTTATTAGTGCCAAGAATTACTGTAGCGCTTTATTCTTTCATGTGTTAAGTACTTTTTGCAGGATGTACCCAATAGTGTGTGAATGAGACACAATTAATACTACATTAAGGGAAATGTGAATACGAGAATTAATGGAGCTATTTTACACATATGCGGAAACAAATTTAGAAATAAGCTCCTACAAGATTTCTGTATTTTTTTCATCCGTTTTAAAAGCTTCAGCACTAATGAAAAAGACAAGCCAAGATACAACAATGGCTTAGCAGAGAGAAATGAGGGGAAAAGAGATCTGGTACACAGAGGAAAGAAATAGGAGGCGTGAGACAGAAAATAGATTGAAGTACCAATAGGATGCAGTAGGTATGGATTCAACTAACATAATCAAAATCTGCCATTATAGAAAATATATTTCTCTGTGTCAAGGTTGTTTCAATTACAAACATTATTGATGTTTCCTAGTTCTAACCAAACTGTTTGTAGACACACACAGAATATTGAATTTACTGCAAGGTATGCTTCTAGTAATGGCTCGTAATGGAAATAATGAAGGATATAGTTTTTTAGTGGAGAATTATATATGGCTTAATATATGGCATGGTCAGGCTTAATTTGTCATAACAAGAAAAGGCAGAAATATCTGCCCCATAAATAAACAAATACAACTATAGATAAAGAAATAAAATGACAATACATTAAAGGATGCCACCCTTAATCCCATGAATTGTATTTTCTCTGATTTCACAACCATAGAATGCACAATGTCTCTGCAATTTTACCATGATATAAACTATTAAAAATCCCAATACAATCTAGTCCTAGCACAGCTATGGCAGACTTTGCAAATTAGGAGGAGATATAGACACATTGCTGCTTCCACTAGTTTCCATGGTGATTGACCCACTTTAGATAATTTTTGCATCAGAACTGTTTAAAAAATGTCCACAATAGCTTAATTTCTCCTTTCCCTGTCTGTTTTTTTCTATATTGACTGCCAATGCTAAGGACATAGCTTATACAAATAATTTGGAGGAATTCACAGGTGGCCAATTTAAAAATGTGTGCACTTCTACAATTAATGTTATTTTTTTATACCAAATAAATACAAATTTGTCAAATGCAGGGCATAAGCACACAAACAAATAAAAAAGATAGGATTTGACAAATATTTCCAAAATCAGAATTTGTAGAGAGTTTAAAGATTTAAATTATGAATAATGAATGACAGAGCCAATTAATATTTCAAATATAGGTCTTGATTTAATATTTTAGGATAATGTTTCAGAATTTAGATTTTTTTTATTTATTGATATATTTATGATATATTTTTGATATTTTAATTTTCCAAAAGAATATTTTAAATGTTTATCAAAATTATTTAATCATTTGAAAAGCTCATCGAAAAATAGAAACATAGAAACGTAGAATGTGACGGCAGATAAGAACCATTTGGCTCATCTAGTCTGCCCAATTTTCTAAATACTTTCATTAGTCCCTCGCCTTATCTTATAGTTAGGATAGCCTTATGCCTATCCCATGCATGCTTAAACTCCTTTACTGTGTTAACCTCTACCACTTCAGCTGGAAGGCTATTCCATCCATCCACTACCCTCTCAGTAAAGTAATACTTCCTGATATTATTTTTAAACCTTTGTCCCTCTAATTTAAGACTATGTCCTTTTGTTGTGGTAGTTTTTCTTCTTTTAAATATAATCTCCACCTTTACTGTGTTGATTCCCTTTATGTATTTAAATGTTTCTATCATATCCCCTGTCCCGTCTTTCCTCCAAGCTATACATGTTAAGATCCTTTAACCTTTCCTGGTAAGTTTTATCCCGCAATCCATGAACGCGTTTAGTAGCCCTTCTTTGAACCCTATCTAAGGTATCAATATCCTTCTGAAGATACGGTCTCCAGTACTATGTACAATACTCCAAGTGAGGTCTCACCAGTGTTCTGTACAATGGCATGAGCACTTCCCTCTTTCTACTGCTAATACCTCTCCCTATACAACCAAGCATTCTGCTAGCATTTCATGCTGCTCTATTACATTGTCTGCCTACCTTTAAGTCATCAGAAATAATCACCCCTAAATCCCTTTCCTCGGATGTTGAGGAAATATTCTCTATCAAATATTCTGTACTCTGCCCTTGGGGTTTTACGTCCAAAATGCATTATCTTGCACTTATCCACATTAAATGTCAGTTGCCACAATTCTAACCATTTTTCTAGTTTACCTAAATCATTTGCCATTTGGCTTATCCCTCCTGGAACATCAACCCTGTTACATATCTTAGTGTCATCAGCAAAAAGACATATCTTACCATCAAGACCTTCTGCAATATCACTAATAAAATTACTAAAGAGAATGGGTCCAAGTACAGATCCCTGAGGTACCCCACTGGTGATAAGTCCAAGCTTCAAATATATTCCATTAACTACAACCCTCTGTTGCCTCTCAATCAGCCACTGCCTTACCCATTCTACAACATTGGAATCCAAACTTAAAGATTGCAGTTTATTGATAAGCCTTCAGTGTCAAAAGCCTTACTGAAATCTAGGTAAGCAATGTCTACTGCACGACCCTGATCTATAATTTTAGTTACCCAATCAAAAAAATCAACAAAATTAGTTTGGCATGATTTCCCTGAAGTAAACCGATGGTGTCTCTGATCTTGAAATCCATGTGTTTTTAGATGTTCAACAATCCTATCCTTTAACATGGTTTCCATCACTTTCCCCACTACTGAAGTAAGGCTTACTGGCCTATAGTTGACTGACTCCTCCCTATTACCTTTCTTGTAAATGGGCACAACATTCGCTAACTTCCAATCTTCTGGGACTACTCCTGTTAACAATGATTGGTTAAATAAATCTGTTAATGGTTTTGCTAGCACACCACTAAGCTCTTTTAATAGCTTTGGGTGTATTCCATCAGGTCCCATTGACTTATTTGTCTTTACTTTTGACAGTTGAAATAGAACCTCTTCCTCTGTAAACTCACGTGTAATAAATGACTCATTTATCCTTTTTCTTAACTGAGGTCCCTTTCCTTCATTTTCATCTGTAAATACAGAACAAAAATATTAATTGAGGCAGTCAGCTAGACCCTTATCCTCTTCTACATACCTTCCTTCTTTTGTTTTAAATCTAACTAATCCTTGTTTTACTTTTCTTTTCTCATTTATGTATTTAAAATAGTTTTGTCCCCCTTTTTTACTGACTGTGCTATTTTCTCTTCTGTGTGTGATTTGGAAACTCGTATAACTTGCTTAGCTTCTTTCTGCCTAATCTTATAGATCATTTTGTCTTCCTCACTCTGGGTTTTTTTATAATTACTAAATGCTAACTTTTTGTTTTTAACTATTTTGGCCACATCTGCGGAGTACCACAATGGTTTCTTGAATTTTTTACTTTACTGACAAGCCTAATGCAATTTTCTGTTGCCTTCAATAGTGCAACTTTTAAATAATCCCATTTCTCTTGGACTCCATTTAAATTGCTCCAGTCTGATAATGACTCCTCTACACATATTCTAATTTTTTGAAAATTCCATTTTTCTAAAGTCTAAAACTTTTGTTTTTGTGTGGTGTGACTCAGTCACTGTTCTTATATTAAACCACACTGACTGATGATCACTGGATCCTAAACTTTCACCTACAGTTATATCTGATACCAAATCTCCATTTGTTAACAGCAAATACTTCTTTATAATTATGTTGTAACACAGCTACAATTTAACAGATTACTTATAGTTGTAGTGAAAGCTGTCAACTCCAAGCCTAGTAGCACATACACCATAAAAAGTATCTACATATATCAAAACGCATATTTTTTTCTCATTTGATCTTCTCTTTCCCAGATTTAAATCTGTTAAAAATAACAACAATTCAAATGCTAACAACATAATTTAAAGTGATAAACATCAATTAATTTCAGATTAGATGGTATTTAAGAATAAATCACATGAAAGCAAGGATACATGTCATATCATGCAAGAAACAACAAACTAACTGATAATATTTTTAGTACGGGGAGCAATTAAAGTGTTGAAATGAATTAAGCAAAACAAGAATGAACAAACAATTTCTGTATGATTAAGATCTGCTCATAATTAGAAATGAACACTTTAGATTGCTCAGATATAATATAGAATGAAGGATATTACATAAGTTATATAAAATAAGCAACACCAGTAAAAAGGAACCTTTTTGCAAATATGTGCTTTTTGACATAATATAAGCTGCTCTATTTATTTCAATATTCAGTTAGGATAAAGGTCAAACCACTGAGAGAAAAGCCCTAGTAAATAGTGTGATCTGCTTTATTATTAAACCATAATGCACATTATGAAAACGAGAGAGGGAATTAAAGCATTAACCAGAGCCCCTTTGGTTTTAGGTTCTTGCCAGCCCCAACTTTATTTAATATTTTTGTATACAGTTGCAAGAAAAAGTATGTGAACCCTTTGGAATGATATGGATTTCTGCACAAATTGGTCATAAAATGTGATCTGATCATCATCTAAGTCACAACAATAGACAATCACAGTCTGCTTAAACTAATAACACACAAAGAATGAAATGTTGCCATGTTTGTATTGAACACACCATGTAAACATTCACAGTGCAGGTGGAAAAAGTAAGTGAACCCCTAGACTAATGACATCTCCAAGAGCTAATTGGAGTGAGATGTCAGCCAACTGGAGTCCAATCAATGAGATGAGATTGGAGGTGTTGGTTACAGCTGCCCTGCCCTATAAAAAAACACACACCAGTTCTGGGTTTGCTTTTCACAAGAAGCATTGCCTGATGTGAATGATGCCTCACACAAAAGAGCTCTCAGAAGACCTACGGTTAAGAATTGTTGACTTGCATAAAGCTGGAAAGGGTTATAAAAGTATCTCCAAAAGCCTTGCTGTTCATCAGTCCACGGTAAGACAAATTGTCTATAAATGGAGAAAGTTCAGCACTGCTGCTACTCTCCCTAGGAGTGGCCGTCCTGTAAAGATGACTGCAAGAGCACAGCGCAGACTGCTCAATGAGGTGAAGAAGAATCCTAGAGTGTCAGCTAAAGACTTACAAAAGTCACTGGCAAATGCTAACATCCCTGTTAGCGAATCTACAATACGTAAAACACTAAACAAGAATGGATTTCATGGGAGGATACCACAGAGGAAGCCACTGCTGTCCAAACAAAACATTGCTGCATGTTTACAGTTTGCACAAGAGCACCTGGCTGTTCCACAGCAGTACTAGCAAAATATTCTGTGGACAGATGAAACCAAAGTTGAGTTGTTTGGAAGAAACACACAACACTATGTGTGGTGAAAAAGAGGCACAGCACACCAACATCAAAACCTCATCCCAACTGTGAAGTATGGTGGTGGGGGCATCATGGTTTGGGGCTGCTTTGCTGCATCAGGGCCTGGATGGATTGCTATCATTGAAGGAAAAATGAATTCCCAAGTTTATCAAGACATTTTGCGGGAGAACTTAAGGCCATCTGTCTACCAGCTGAAGCTCAACAGAAGATGGGTGTTGCAACATGACAATGACCCAAAGCATAGAAGTAAATCAACAACAGAATGGCTTAAACAGAAAAAAATACGCCTTCTGAAGTGGCCCAGTCAGAGTCCTGACCTCAACCTGATTGAGATGCTGTGGCATGACCTCAAGAAAGCGATTCACCCCAGACATCCCAAGAATATTGCTGAACTGAAACAGTTCTTTAAAGAGGAATGGTCAAGAATTACTCCTGACTGTTGTGCACGTCTGATCTGCAACTACAGGAAACGTTTAGTTGAAGTTTTTGCTGCCAAAGGAGGTTCAACCAGTTATTAAATCCACGGGTTCACATACTTTTACCACCTGCACTGTGAATGTTTACATGGTGTGTTCAATAAAAACATGGCAACATTTCATTCTTTGTGTGTTCTTAGTTTAAGCAGACTGTGATTGTCTATTGTTGTGACTTTTTCACATTTTATGACCAATTTGTGCAGAAATCCATATCATTCCAAAGGGTTCACATACTTTTTCTTGCAACTGTATGCTTTTAAAATATATATTTTTTTCAAAATATTAAAATATCAAATTTTTTTATCATATATACAAAACTATCAATATATCAAAACACTAAAATATTTTTCTAAATATTACATCATTTTTAAACATTTATTTGAAAATATTAAATAATTTAAAAAGCATATCCAAAAAATATAAAATCAAGGCAAATCAATAAATCAAGGCCTTATTCACAAACATGGGATGGGAAAACAAGCGGTCTACCTCTAAAGGGACACTTTAGTCACCAGAACAACTACAGCTTATTGTATTTGTTCTTGTTAGTAGAATCACTCCCTTCAGGCGTTTTGCAGTAAACACCGTATTTTCAGAGAAAATACAGTGTTTACATTATAGCATAGTGATAACTCCACTGGCCACTCCTCAGATTGGTACAAGAAGTGCAGTACTGCCATTCAGTGTCGCCACCCTCTGCATGCAGACACTGCACTTTTCTCATAGAGATACATTGATTCAATTCACCTCTATGAGGATATTGTGATTGGCCATGGCTGTGTTTGACTTTTGCTGGCTCTGTCCCTAATCTGCCTCCTTGACAGTCTCAGCTAATCCTATGGAGAAGCATTGTGATTGGCTTACACCACCACTTCTGATGATGTCAGCAGACATCAGGGAGGTCAGAGCATAGGGGAAGAAGCTGCAGCTGCAGGGTTGAATACAAGTAAGATTTTACTATATTAAGGGATGCAAGTGGGGTCAGGGGGGCTACATGGTGGTTTTAATACGATAAGATAGGGTCATGAATTCATAATTGTGTTCCTGACCAAATAGTGTTTTTTTAACAATATCCCACTGACAGTTTCTACAGACTATATTTGCATTCATGCAAATGAGAACAAGTAAATGTGAATGCTAAGGTTTATTTACTAAATAGTGGATTGTAGTGAATTGAAACCCAAATTGCAAGATGCGGACTAAAATAGCCAATGTGACACATACTCAGTTATTGGGAAGTGACATTTCCCTTTAAGTGATTACGTGAAATGTTTACAGTAAATATCATGCTGATGAATGTTACTGGCAGTTTTGCAGGATGGCTAGTTATGTACTTGCTTTAATTTCATCAGCTGAAAAAATAGCATGTATAAGGTTATGATTATTTAATATTTTTAACTAAAAAAAACCCAATATTAATTCCCTGATAAAAAGAGTCAGTATGTTGCATTTTAAATAACACACATATTGAATATATGCTTCAAGCAGTATTTGATCTATTTATTTTTAAAAACATTATGAAGGTATTCAAAATATGTAATAAAAATATAAATTACAATGAAATATTTTTTGATGTCTCTAAGCTAATATGACCTAATTTTATTAAATACAATTAAAGATATTGTAAACAGCAGCATACTAATAAAGGGGGAGGGGCGATCTGCCGCCAAGTGACAGGCAGCAGGGGGGAGCACTGCTCTTGGTGCACAGCTCCCTCACCACACTGTACTATAGCTGAAAGCTGAGATTTAACATCATCCCAGCTGCAGCATCATTAAAGAAGGCATTCTACTTTTTTTTCCTATGTGTGTTGCACTGATGGTGGGGGGTGTTTAGGTTATGTGGTAGGGGGAGATCCAAAGGAGAAGCAGCAGGACAAGTTCTCCCTATGCCAGGAACCATGCAGAGTTACATTAAGGGGTCCCTGATTTGTAAATCTGAAAGTGCAGGCTTTTTTTATCATGTAAAATAGAAAAGTGAACAGCGCTAAAAATCAGAAAATGTACATACGTTTTGTAGAAATACTGGCCAGCAGAGTAACTTAAAAAAAAAAGAGAAACAAAAATACAAATAATGGTACAGTATGTATGAACGATATAATTCCACAAGAACAAAGGTGTTATATTCACACTCACACTTTGAGGAGCTATATCAGCTCGGTGTTAAGAGCCTGGACGGAATAATCCCCGTCTATGGATTTCTTGAGGTTCAAGACCGTTGGTGAATTTATAGGTGTAAATATTCGTTACATGAAAAACAAGAGTAAAATACACCACATGGTATAGTACGTAAATATAAAATATTGTGAAAAAAAGTGGATGATCCTACTTACATATACTAGAGCAACGACCTGCTCTAGTTTGAAGAATTTCAGGTGGAATAATCCCCACCTTGGGATATAGTGGACCCAGGTATAGCAGCAAAGCAGTATTGGATAGGAAGGAGGACAAAAGGAATGACTGGATAGTTTAAAAAATATATATACTTTAATACAATAAGTAAAAAGTGAATAATAAACTATAAAACCAGTCCTGTTTAAAAGTCCAAAATTCTTCCTCACTTAAGTTGGAGGCACTTAAGTGCATGATGGTAACAGGCACTGTGGTTTCAGTGAACACAGTAAGACAAACTAAACACAGAAGATTTACATGCCAGAACTCTAAGTTGTGCACCTAACCCAAAAACAAAGAAAAGTTGCTTTAATATGCTCAATATCATATAAATAAGCCACAGATGTTTTGGGTTTCTGTTCTGTGGTATGAAAATAAATAAACGAAAGAAAGAAAACTGGAACTTTTCAGCCCAATGGATCAGCGGTATGTCTGGAGGAGAAGAATGAAGCATATGCCAAAAAGAACACTCTGCCTACAGTTAAGCATGGTGGTAGTTCAGTGATGCTCTGGGGTTGCTTTGAAATCTCTGAACTAGAAATCTGCAGCATGTGGAAGACAACATGGATTAATAGAAGTATCAGGAAATCCTGGGAGAAAATGTCATGACGTCTGTGTGGAAGCTGAAGCTTGGGCGTCATTGGACCTTATACTTTGTCCTGCCCTTTTTGGTATAGTTCACTTATGAAATTAGATTATATATCTACCTTTCAAGTTCAACATTAAGGCAGTAATATTTTTATTCTTTCTTTTGTTTTGTTTTTTTGCATGTAAACTATGCTGCTTATATGGAGCCTTGAGTTATCTATTTTACTTTATCATCCTGTAAAAGTTGTGCAGTATGTTGTATATTTCCTAGAAAGATATTTAGTGAGTCCTGCACCAGTTGTACTGTGACTGTCTGTACATTTCATATGTTTTTTTTGTTTGTTTTTTTCCACCTTTTATTTGAGGAACCATTTTGGAGTCCTTTAGGTGTTATACAGAGCCCTGCACCTGTGCTGCAGTAATCTCACAGCATCTTTACTTAGTTGTTCATATTTCTTTGTTCTATAATAACTATATAGTTATCATGTGCTTTATAGTAGCTGTAAGTGTTATACTGAGTCATGTATCAGTTCTGAAGTGACCCAGTTACTGCTTGCACCCTCTATACTAAGACTGGGGTCCTCGTAGGCTAATATATGTTTTGTTAGAATCTGTTTTCTCCCCCTACTAGAAGAGTGTATTTATTGCCAGCAGTGAAACTTTAAAAATCTTGGCTAGGTGTGTGGCTCTGACCTCTGACCCAGCTGCACACATTTCATCCTTCCATATACTCATGGCTGCATTGTAACATGCTTAGCACCAATACAGTAACCCTTATGGCTCCCTCCCTTTTAGTGCTTGCTCCCTTCCTGCTAATGCTTGCTAGCACTTTTTGATATTTATAAAATACTTTGCTTTTAATTGTATTTTGGCAGTGTAACTCAACTGCCTTGATTGTTTACCATCATCTTGTTGCTAGGGCAACCGGCTGAAATGCAAATGGTGGGGGTGTCGCAAACTGTGGTGCATGCTCATGGCTTCGAGGTGCTCACTCATAACTTCTGGGCATTCATAACTTGCACAAGGAGGTGAGTACTTGATGTTTATTGTTTTTATAGGTATATAGTCACTATTTGTGTCTTGTGAAGCATTGTCCAGATGAAAGTTTTGTGTAAAAACTGAAATGTTGACATTTTATTTATAAAGCTAAATAAAAGTTAAGAGAGAGAGAGAGAGTTTGAATATTCAGTGCCCCTACCAAGGTGGGGTTCTGGATCTGGATGTTCTGGAGGTGGTAGAGCACTTTACTATAAGTAAAGACTTTTGTGTAACAGAGGTGCAGGTGGCTGTGCAATCAGTATGCAGAGACATACTAGTAGCAGACCACAAGATTTGAGGAATACAATTCTAAATAAAAAACAAATGTGTATGTGAGTGTATGGATGTAAGTATATATGCGTGTGTGTGTGTGTGTGTGTGTGTGTGTGTGTGTGTGTGTGTGTGTGTGTGTGATATAAGTGTATGTGTGTGTGTATGTGAGTGTTAGCATATGGACATAAAAGTGAGTGTGTTTTGTAATTTCCCTAACAAAAGGGTGTTAGGTGCATTGCAAAAATACAAAAACAAATCCTACAGTTTGCAGATATGTGTGGGAAGGTTGGCAATATAAATCCTCCTCCCCCCCAAGTGCCAGATAACTTAGGTACAACACTGATTGTAAGTATATATTACAAAGTTCTCTACATAAGAAAAAGCAGTGCCAAGTCATTACCCGATTACAACAGCTGCTCTTATTTCTACTGAATACCAAAGAACTAAAACTGCTTTTTTAAAATAACTATTAAATTGGTATTTTATTATGAATTTAAAACTGTATTTTTTGGGAAGTTCTCTAGAAATGGCTATGGCCTTTTTATGCTTTTAATCAGTGCAGGCATCTGTAGCCCATAAAGCACAACAAAGAAGAGGATGATACAAAATATTGATGACTGTTCGCTAATGTTTGTACCTAAAGCAAAATGAGTTCAAGGTAATCACCACGTTGGCAGAATTTTACAGAAATTAGTTTCCTTTTTTTTAATTTTTTTTTTTTTTTTTAAGTACAGGTGCTTAGATATTAAAGATAACATTACTGACAGTGTTTGGAAAAATAAATCAGCACAAAAAGCAGTTTAGACTTAAGAAAAAAAGACAAGATATGCAAAAAAAGTTATTTCATCTAAGCAATTATCTACGAAAACACGCATTATGGTGTTTTCTGACCACTCTAGAGATTCACACATCTTCTTTAAATACCAAGTACATTAAGCCAATGACAGCATGATTGATTATCGTAATACTCCCAAATTGGTCATATTGTATGAAACTTGTGATAGGAGCATCTGCTGGGGATGAATCCAAACTATTAGAGGACATATTTATTTACACTGATGTTGAGGTGAGTTCAAACAGATGTAGTTTATATAACATTCGTAATTCCTGTTGTTGGCTTTGAACGAAAAATAATTTTTTAAAGATACAATTTTACTTCAAATGGAAGCAAACTGCAGTATTCTTCTTTATGTAATAAATTTTACCATGGGTCTATAAATGAAACTATTAAAATAGGCTAATTCGATCAAGAGTTATATGTATGCTTAAAAATCTTCTCAACTGCCCCAGGAGGGGGGGGGGAGGGGGCAGAAAATAAGGCTGGCATATCTCCTGCCATGCTGCCATTGTTGATGGCAAGGAAAAACAGAACACATATCTGACCAGTGCCTCCAGAGGAAGCAGTACAGTGCACAGAATCATCATTATAAACATCATAAAGTGGTCTGTGAGTGGAGCAACCAGTGTCAAACTCTAGGACAGTTATATAAGATACACCAGTACCTATTGAACAAAGGACACCATAAATGATCAAGTAGGACAGAAAAAGTTGATCTATCGGTCACTTTTCAGATAAATTAGTGAACATGCCGTATGAATAATATAATAGAAAAATATATAGTCAACATGAGGATGGAAAGTGTGACAAAATGGCATATTTATAGTATTATTTTGATATGCTAGTCATATTCTAAGCTGCATTGTATGGCCTAGGGAAAATCCAGAGAATCAGGGCAAAGTCAACATGTGTTTAAAGGCATTGAGCTGGTGGTGTAAATATTTGTAAATACATTCCCTCTGTGCTGTGGCCTGTTAAGAAACTCGGAGTTCCAGATTGTGATAGAGATTGTCATGCTGAGATATCTGCCTTGCCGGTCTAGATAGCTCTTTGTTGCCAGGGTGGACAGGCACAAAAAGGAAACTGTAACAAAAATTATAGTTGTAAATTGTGTGCTGAGTGTTTAAAAACCCTGGTTCCTGTAAGATAAAGTTACCTGTCATTGTCTGAACTAAGAAGAAGCTTGTTTTGTCTCTTCCTTGAGGTCTCCCAGGTACATAGCTATTTATAGTCCTCTATAGAGTAGTTACTTATAGAGTATTGCAAGTGGAGTAGATAGAATACCCTATAGTAACCAGATATTAATGCAGTATATCCTGCACTGCCAGTGGATACACTATCAAAGCTGACTTTTAGCTTTTAGTTAGCCGTTAGTGGTGCAGGTGAAATAAAAGAAACCCACTGATGATAGCGTGCAGGAGCTGGTATACCCTCAGTGCCAGAGACGCCAGAGCTGAGCATCACAGAAAGGTACTCAGAAGTTAAAGGTATATTATTTTTAAAAACATAATGAAACAATGAAAATATTTAATTCAGCTGACAATCCGATATTTTTTTTCTGTTTAAAAAATAGAGAAAAGCGTTCTGTGCAATTAAGGGCGCATTGTGATTAAAACAAAGTAGATATATATGTGTGGATAGCAGCTCAAAACTTGTGTAACTACCTCCAAAATTACACACAAGTAATTGAACCAAGCAAGTGTCCCCGGTGGAACACACCACCAAAAAGTCCACTTAGTGGAGCACTACAGCAGATTGCACTTACCCCTATACAATCTGGGTAGAGTGTATAATGGCAAAATTCTCTAAAAGAGAGAAAACAATACACAATGGTGAAGTATATCAAGCCCAACAGATTGGTATGTGGAAAAGTATGAACCACACTCACATGGTATAGAGCCACATAGGGATAGGCTCAAATCTCTTAGGCGGAGGTATATTAGGTAATACCAAACCCTCTCTGGATCCTGGCCAGATTGTCATCAAAATAGGGAGACAAAAAAGAAACAGGATATCCTGGTGCAGAATTACTAAAATAGCTGATAGGAACAAAGTGTAGAGACAAGTATTTACTTGTGGGGAGCCAATTATACTAGGCTCTCGGTATAACAGTTTACGTACCTTTAAGGGGAGCACTTCCCTTTTTAGTAGTAGGAACAGTAAACAGCAATGGACCGCTGGGTTCAAGGTCACATTAAAATACACTTATTTAAAACAATAAACAATTCAAATATAAATCTCAAAAGTGCTAAGGTTACCAGTCCACAGTCTTGGGTGGTCCTTTCTCCTCCTCCGAGATGTGTTTCGCCAGACGGCTTTATCAATCAGGATGTCTGTCTCTGTTTATATATGCATAGATCTCCTCTGATTGGTCGTCATGTTCTTTCCGCAGCCAACCACTGATTCAGCTTTCAGAGGTGTGTGTGCATCAGCTGTTGTCCATAATGGATTTCTCCGAAACTGGAAATGACGTTACCGGCCAGACGTAACGTCATCTGTGGTGCGCCCACCTTGGACACGTCCATAGCCTGTCGTTTCCTGTGACGCCCATGTGGACATCTTTGCTATGGGCAGTTTTCTTACAGAGCAAATACAATACCGTATACCAACTCCTGGCAATATATCTCTCTGTTCTTGTAAAGGATATAGTTCATCATAGTTCTCTCATAGATACAGAGTCCAGTGTAGATATAGGAGATCAAGTATCAAAATAAGAGAAAAAAAATCATATAATAAATAGTTAAACAATTTATATATGTAGTTGAAGAACAGATAGTATTTTGAAAATATATCTATTAATATTGACATGTAAACTTTGTTAATACATCAAATTAATAGCAAGCAGCATCAACTAAATGATTAAATAATTTAAAGTGCCATGTTTATATATCAACTAACCTAAAATATTTGTTCCAAAAAATACAATTTATAACAAAAATTTATGAAAAATCTATAAAATGAACAATTAATTAAAAAACATTAAAACATCTATCATAAAAAATTCATTAAGATTAGCAAGGAGTGATAAAAAAACCCCCAATAACAGTTATAAGAAATGACAGAGTTCAAAATCATTATTAAGACCATTAGGTTGTAATGTATTTAAATTAAAAATCCACTTAATTTCTGTTTGTCCCATTTTTTTAAATAATATCATCACCCCTCCAGTTAAAATTCTTAACTGCCCATAAAATTCATTAGACTTGGGTCACTATTATGTTTAATTTTAAAGTGCAAGGACAAACTATGTTTAATGAAACCATTTTTAATGTTGCGTATATGTTCCTGTATTCAAACATGTAGAGGTCTAGTAGTACGGCCTATTTAGGAAAGTTTGCATGTGCATGTGATCATATAGATCACATGCTTCGAATGACAGGTGATGATTTCTTTAATTTTAAATTGAATATTGTCATTCTGTGGATGTGCAAATTTGTTTATATTTCTTTTTGAACTTTATTGTATTTTTACAAGCTCCACACACCTTACACCCATAAAAACCTTTTGACTCATTAAATGGATTATGTGTGATTTTTTTGGTAAAAGACCGATTTTGAGTGAGATTACATGTTAAATTTGGGACATCCCTATATATAACTTTAGGCTTGTCTGGCAAAATTGAATGAAGGGTTTTTTATAATTTGGCCAATATTTAAATATGATTTTCTTTAGTTGCTCACTTTGGCAATTAAAATCACAAATAAAAGGTATAACATTGTCTTCAATGCTCTGTTTTTATATATATATATATATATATATATATATATATATATATACAAGGGCTACGATGACAAAATATTGAATAAAGCTTTCCTAGAGGTTGAGATGCAAGATAGAGAGGTTTTAATAAGTTATAATATATATATATATATTATAACTTATTAAAACCTCTCTATCTTGCATCTCAACCTCTAGGAAAGCTTTATTCAATATTTTGTCATCGTAGCCCTTGTCGCTAAAGTCCTCTATAATTTTCGGTGCTTGTTCATAAAATCTAGTGTTATCGGTACAATTCCTTTTTATTCTCCCTTCCCTCCTCAATCAGACTTTCACCCAGCCTCTACTCCTTCAAAAAATCTTTGAAAACTCACTTCTTCAATAAAGCATATCAATTAAACTGTCAGCAGGTTTCTCATCAACCACCCCATGACTCCGTTCCTGCAACTGTCAAAAATGACCTACCAAACACTCAATAAACCCTTCTGTAACAAACTATTTAATTCCCTTACTTTAACCCTTTGTGTCACTATACCCCACTCCCTCTAGCATGTAAGCTCATCGAGCAGGGTCCTCAACCCCCTCTGTTCCTGTACGTCAGTGGTCTGATCTCAATTATGTGTCTGTTAATCCACCCATTGTACAGCGCTACAGAATTTGTTGGCGCTATATAAATAATAAAATAATAATAATAATAATAATAATAATTCTTGTTAGCTGTGCTTTAGGAGCATTTAGAAGCCATGGAGAATAATGGCAACTATTGCCTTGGGTTTACCTATTAAAGTCAACCTTTTTGAAATAGGTACTGGTCTTAATTTTGTTGCCCTCTATATAAATGTCCAAGTCTAAAAAATTAACTGAACTGTTACTGAAAGTGCTAGTCAATCTAATACCCCAATCTTTATCTTCAAGATTGATTAAAAAGGTAGTGAGGGATGATACATCTCCCTTGCAGATAAAAAAAATATCGTCTGTGTAACGGCGATGGGTTGCCAGAGTCGCATCCCACCTGTGGTATTCAAAAAAGACTACATGTTTTGAGTATATTTATTGTGATGGTACCCATTCTCTATTTCACTGCAGGTTTTTGAGTCATGGTTCTGTATGTACCAGGTGCTTTGGCATGTTCCAGTTGCACTAATGTTGGAAAATGAAAAGGTCCCAATACTCAGCCATGCAATAGCTGAAACAATCCAAGAATACAGAAGGGAAAGAGGTAGATATGATTTGAGGGATAGAGACACAAGTGAGGGAATCAAAATGGAGAAGGGGTCCCAACCGGGATTGGGTGACATAAGTGTAAATGAGATAGAGAGTGACATATATGGTGGGGATGGAAAGAAACACATATGTGACAGGTTGGTGAGGTAGAATGTCATACAATACTGAGGATGATGTGAAAACCAGACACTTTTAACCCACACACTCATAGATATGCAATCAAAGTACATATTCATGCACAGAAGGTTAATGGTGATTCAACCATGCAGAAGAAGCTGCAACAATTCAGCACAACTGATTTCCTCTATACCTTTTACAAATATTTTTAAAGGTAGTGAAACTCTATATTCATTATGCCATGCCAAGCATAAGACACATTACAAAAACTAGACTGTATCTTCCACACTGATAGCCTCGTAGCATATCACCACTACAGTACACAGTACCGGTTATGGTGATTGAACTGTCTCTCTACGTGTATAATTTTTTATAGGGTCAGGGTGCCAACTGAATAATTTATCCTGTGTGTCAAATAGCCAGGTATACCTCTTTTGTGTGAAAGGGTTCATGGGATGAAATACACGATCTTTAGGCTCTAATATTAAGTGTCTGTCATATCCATTGCTATAATAAGTTAGTCCTCAACACAGACCATTAAAAATAAAATAATATGACAGAATAACCTATTGCTCCCACTGTATTGCCTACTTCCTATATATATATATATATATATATATATATATATATATATATATATGACTAGGGATAGACAAAATCTGCAGTTCACAAACATAGGGATTGTTTCTATGTGTGTTTAGAACATGCACTTTCTCTGTCAACATTTTGCATGATGCTTGAGTACATTTCCCTCTGATTGTCAGCACATTTTTTTGACTTTCACAAACTATTATTCATGTGTGTGACCTGGAAGGTAATTTCTGTATGTTTCACAATAAAAACATTGTAAAAATGCCTACAAAACAGAACTGCTTTATGGTGTTTAGTTTGAAGGCAAATTTTCATAATGTGAGATATTTGCTGACAAGAGGATTCCAGGCACTGTTCCATGACTTCCTATTGGATTTGAGCAATATTACATTCTGATAAAAATGTTTGCCTTCTCTACTTGTGACACAGTCAGTGGCCGATAAATGCAAGTTATCCATCAGAAGCCGTCATTTGTGTCCTCAGGAAAACCTATATTTTGATCAATCGAAAATAGAGTATTTCTTCCACAGGGCAATATGAATGCTCAGGTCTGATTAATCTAGAATATAGAAGATTATTTTGATATGGCTAGTTCCCTTAATCATGCCCTTGAAGAAATGTTGTAAGTCAATTACGCATTAAATCTGCGGAATAGCCATAGCTACATTTTTGGAGGGAATTATCCATTTGCAAAAATCCCTGCCAGGGCGGTATGCAAACAGAGTTAAATTTTCATTATTAGACACAATCACGCTGAGCAGCAATGAGGTTCCCTGCAAATAATGACAGTACCTGATAGCAATATATTCCTCTCACGTCTACTAATTGCAAAGACTCAATTCCAATAAAAACCATTCAACAGTGCATGTTTAACAAATCCTCTACCAGTTGTGTGTGTTTATATGTTAGCTTAAATTGCTTAGCATACTTTTGGCATATGTTCAAATTCAAACTCTGTCTTTCACAAGGATAATGCATTTTGTTAAAATACAGCTGTAACTTCTTGTTACTGTATCCTTACAGTTATTGGACTCCAATGATATACATTTTGGTCATTGAGTTTATCCCTGTAAGTTTGCTCAGTTAAGGAAGCAGTAATTTAGTATAGTGTATGATGAATAGTGATTATAGATGTTTTAAGCTTTAGAGCTGTATAGACTCGTAGAAGAGGGTTTGTAAAAACAAAAAACAAAACAACAGAATAGAATAGAATAGAATAGAATGCACAGTTAACATATAGTATGCAGCAGCAATTTTAGATAAACATTTCTCTTCAAGAACACTTAAAATTTACAATTAGATATAATTACATTCTTTCATTTTTTTAAATTTATGCATTATGCTTTAGATAATGGATTGTTTGCCTTATCTTACAATAAGTCAGAATACTATGAAATACTTGCATTAAAGAGACACTCTAGGCACCCAGACCACTTCACCTCATTGAAATGGAGTGGGTGCAATGTCCCATGTCCCTTAACTCTGCAATAGTAATTATTAACATTTCTGAGAAATTGCAATAATTACTCTGCAGGGTTAACTCCTCCTCTAGTGACTGTCTACCAGACAGCCAATAGAGGAACTTCCGGAATTGAAACGGACCTTTGGTCTGTCATCTGACACTCGACATTCCCACGCTATGCATGAGGACCTCCAGTGTTGGATTTTTCCAATAAGAA